TGCATCTGTTCACTCTGAAAATACATGACCTTTTGGAGAAAAAAAAATCTTCACAATTCATTTTCCATAGAGCAGCCAGAGTGATCTTTTTTTTTAAGGCTGTGTATGTGTGTGTGTGCGTGCGTGCGTGCACACATGCGTGTGCACACGCACCATGCTGCATGTCTAATTCCCCTACAAGGCATCAAAATCAAACCTGGGCCCACGGCAGTGAAAGCACCAAGTCCTAACCACTCGACCATCATGGAATTCCCCAAAGTGATCTTTTAATATTTTAAATCAGATCATGCTACTCCCTGCTTAAAATCTTTCAACTGTTTCCCACTGCACTTTGAATAAAACTCAGCAAATTACTGTGGTCTCTATTCTTCATTGGCCTCATCTCCTGCTCCCTCCTTCTTGTCTTTCACGAGGCTCAAGGTATGCTGATCCTCTATTTTTTTTTATAATTGAGCTCTTACTGTGTGCACTGGACTGAGCACTTTTCATGTTTTCTCACTTAATCCTCCCAACAATCTTATAAGGTAAGTACTATTATGGTTTCCATGTTACAGATGCTGAAAGAGAAGCATGTCAGGCTAAGTAACTTGCTGAAGGTCACACCTTTAGCAACTGACAGAGCTGGGGTTTGAAGCCCATGATCTCAGCCAGTATATAATGAGCTTCCTGCTTCCAGGTCACACCACGTTCGTTCTCAGGGTCTTGGAGGTTGGCTCTCTCTCCTGGAATGCTCTTTGCCAGGCCCTCCCAGGCCATCCTTCTCTTCATCAGAGATCAGCTCAAACCCCACTCCCTAGGGAGACCTTTGCTGACTACTGGATTTAAAATAACCCCCCGTCATTCCCTCCCACATGACCCTACCAGTCTGATAGTCCTCTGGTTATTATTCATTTGTTTATTGTATAACTCCTTGCACTTAGAATGTTAGTACCATGAGAACTGGGATACTGTTTGTCTACTGCTATATATTTATGGTCTTCCCAGGTGGCACTAGTAGTAAAGAATCCACCTGCCAATGCAAGAGAATTAAATAAAGATTGATTTATTATGCAAGAAATAAATCTAACAAGGGTTCGATCCCTGGTCAGGAAGATTCCCTGGAGAAGGGCATGGCAATCCACTCCAGTATTCTTGCCTGGAGAATCCCCATGGACAGAGGAGCCTGACAGGCTACAGTCCATAGGGTCACAGAGTCAGACATGACTGAAGTGAGCGAGCAAGAAACGTACTATGTGCCCAGCACTGTAAGATGTGTTCATCATCTTACATTGCCCATATCATCTACACTGACACAATGATGCACAGTGCAAGACAGAGTGTCATACTGTTTTACAGATAAGGAAACTGCATTTCACAAAAATTAAATGACTTGCCCAGGGTCACATAGGTACCAAAGCAGAGAAGTTCAAATCTAAACCCAGTTCTGTCCGACTCCCCAGTCTGTGCTCTGCCCACTCAGCTGTGCTTCCCCGCTTTATGGCCTAGTTCGAAGGAGAGCTGTAGCTGATTCTCCAATTAACACCTATGGCTCTGCCTCTTTCCCACACTCAGAACCCACACTCCACTGGATGTCCAGAAGATTGTCCACATCCCCCTCCCTCTAAACACTCAATGTGTTTGTAACCCAACTCTCCACCTCTCCCACAAAACTTAGCTGTCCTTTGAGAAGCCTTGCTGTTAGTGCTACTACTATTAGTTACCCAGGCATCTAGAGCTTCTCAAAATTCTAGTGACATTTTTATCTTCCTCCATCCTAAAGCCCAAGATTTAACCCCTGTCTAGCTTAGCTACACCACTGTCTCTTCCTCACCCTAATCACAAGCCTTCTTTCTGTTTCTCCAACTTGCCATGGTTCTACCTCAGTATCTCTACACATGCTGTCTCTTCTGCTCAGTGTCCAGTCCTTCCTCCTTCTTTAGTTAATTCTACTATCCTTCAGAATTTAACATGTCACTTGTTCAGGAAAGCCTTCCCAGATCTCTAGTCTTACTCTTTGAGGCACTTACCACAGGTACAATTAAGTGGTTGAATGTGTAACAAAACAATTTATGAATTTATCTGACTTTCTCCCAGGCTGAATGCATGGGAAAGGTGAAGACTGAGTCTGTCTCACTCAATGCTGCATTCTCAGTGCATCACATGTCATAGGTGATTAGGATGTATTTGTTCTTTTCTATGTGAGTTTGCTTTATCAACTCTCCCTTTATCATGTCTATGTCCACCAACAGAACGTAAGTTCCAAGGGCAGGGATTTTTGTTGTTGTTGTTGTTGTTTTATTCACTCCTGTTCCCCAGCACCCAAATGTTCATTAAATGAACATATCCGTAACTTCCTTTCCACTTCTAATGCCCTTGCCCTACACATATCAGCAGAACACCAGACATCACTCCCCACTAGGCTTTTGGATGCCAGAGCACTCTCCTGGCCAGAGAGCTGAAATGCTGAAGACACCAGCAGAGGAAGTGACAGATCTCATCCCAGTGACCCTGACTCGAGTTTCCTCCCTGGGGACTTGGGAGTCTGCAAAACCATGAGACTGTCTCATTATATTGTTTTCCTCTAATTAAAACTCTTCATAAAATATGGGTCATCAGTACCATCTTTCTAGGTTCCATATATATGCATTATACATGCATTGATACACCATATTTGTTTTTCTCTGACTTACTTCACTCAGTATGGCAGAAATAAAACCAGTATTATAAAGGAAGTCAGGATCTTCCAAATAGCAGCATTTGTGATTTCCTTGGGTAAGGGTTGGTGTCAGCAACATGTGAAAACTTCTTGAGAAAGCATCAGAGGAAGGCAGAGAGGGGTGAGGCATGGACTCTGGAGACATGCTCAGGAACTCTGCTTACTAGCTGTAAATCCTTGGGTAATCCCTCCTTTTCCCGATTGTAAGACAGGGATAAAAATGCTTCCCTTATAATGTTGTTGGGAAGGGAAGGGTAGTGTTTAGAAAGATTTGCAGAACACCCTGACTTAGGAAGTGTTCAATAAACGGGACTTTAAAAAAATTGATTTTAGTTGATTTACAATACTGTGTTAGTTTCAGATGTACAGCAAAGTGACTCAGTTACACTCATCTTTTGGTGTCATATCTTTTTGACCTTTTATACAGTTCATGACGTTCTCACCACAAGTATACTCAGGTGGTTTGCCACTCCTGAGGAATTGGTTTGAGAGCATAAGAGAGGGTGTCAGAGGGTCCAGAGATGGCTGGATGCCATGACCCATGCAATGGACATGAACTTGGGCAAACTCCTGGGCAAACTCCAGAAGATGGTGAGGGACAGGGAGGCCTAGCTTGCTGCAGTCCATGGGTCACTACGAGTCAGACACAACTGGGCGACTGAACAACATGTATATATCGGGCTGGCCAAAAAGTTGGTTCAGGTTTCTCCATACAATGTTACAGAAAAACTCCAGCGAACATTTTGGCCAACCCAATTTTTCCCCCCATCATTTTCTATTACAGGTTAACACGAGATACTGAATATACTTCAATTAACAGGAATTCTTAGCACAGCCTTTTATGCTCCCAATTTGCACATTCATAAAAGTGACATGTAGCTAACTGTCCAATCTCCCAAAAGGAGATAGATCATCTTTGAATACCCGGAACCCAATTTAGCCAATGAAGGCCTTTACCAACCTCCACTGACAACATAAATGAGTAGCTCAGAACAAAGCATCAAGGTGCACAGTCAAGTTCCCACAAAGGCTAACTCATTTTAGTCCAAGTGAAATGAGAAGGCAGCAATCTGGCCAGCTGCTCAAGCGCCGAGTTGGCTCGGTAGAACCCATCAGGCCCTACCTGGCTAACACCTGCCCTTGGAAGAGGAACGCCAACTACGGGTCTCTGGAACCTCAGCCAGCTTTGTCCTTTGTGATAGTGCCACCTAGCGAGGCCCTGGAAGCACTGCCGCCTACACCGGCTATGCCAGGACCACTGCGACAAGCCCGATAGACTTTGGACTGGGATTGTGGTCTCCTTTCATTTTATTGCCGGGTTAAAGGTTTAGACTGTGACGTCCTCCTTCCATGACCCTGCAGAGGAAGCGTGTGTTGTCCCTCCCCGACCCACGTTCAGACCCAAAGGGACTGATAAGCGCGAAGAGTCAGCTGTACCCGTCGTACAGCACTGACCAGCGGTCACTCTGCGATCTCCTCGCATCCACCCCTCGGGAGCAGGCAAAGCAAGCATTAGCATCCTCATCAAAATCACTGCACAGATGAGAAAACTCAGGGAAGGTGGCTAACCCAAGGTCACAAAACATCCGGGATGGCAACCCAAGCCTCCTGTAACCGGGTCCCTGGCTCCTTCCCCAATCACACGCCCCTCCACATTTCAGCGCGGCCCCAAGGGAACAGAGCCTCGGGGACCGTGCGCCAAGGACAGGCGGGTGGGTGCAGGATAGAGATAATACATAGGCGACCGCAGCCCTCTCTCTTTCTTCTCTGCTCACTGAGAGCCCTGCATGTTCACCACGGCTCCGGGGTGGGGGAAGAAAGGCCCAGAGCAGGAAACACGGTCCCGCGCAGGTAGCCCCTGGGAGCACGAGGCGCCGGGTCACGTGAGAGGGGCTCGCCGGCGAGGGCTCTAGCACGCACGCACGCCGTACGTAAACACGCACTGAGACGCTTAAGGCGGCGAGCCCGAAGCCCCGGGTCACATGTGGAGGGTGGTTGTACAGAACAGGGGGGCGGGAAGGAGAGAGGTGTCACGTGAAGGAGGTCGGAGCAGTGAGGTCACGTGACGGGGACGGAGGCGGGGCCGCCGAAGAGGAGGAGGAGGAGGGGCGCGCGGCTTCCGGCGGCGGGGGGGGCCGGCGAGCGGAGGGGGGGGCCCTGTCCCGGAGGTGGCGGCGGCGCCATCTTGGCGAAGGGGGGATCAGGAAGTGCGGACCGCGGCGGCGGCGGCGGCGGCGGCGGCGGAGCCCGGAGCGGAGGCCGGAGGCTCCCGGCCCGCCGGCCCCGGAGCGGAGCGGAGCGGAGGATGCAGCAGCCGCAGCCGCAGGGGCAGCAGCAGCCGGGGCCGGGGCAGCAGCTGGGGGGCCAGGGGGCGGCGCCGGGGGCCGGGGGCGGCCCGGGGGGGGGCCCGGGGCCGGGGCCCTGCCTGAGGCGGGAGCTGAAGCTGCTCGAGTCCATCTTCCACCGCGGCCACGAGCGCTTCCGCATTGCCAGCGCCTGCCTGGACGAGCTGAGCTGCGAGTTCCTGCTGGCTGGGGCCGGAGGGGCCGGGGCGGGGGCCGCGCCCGGACCGCATCTCCCCTCACGGGGGTCGGTGCCTGGGGATCCCGTCCGCATCCACTGCAACATCACGGTGAGGACCCCCTCGCGTGTGTGTCTCTGGGGTCCTCTTGTCTGGGACTCGGAATCACCCCACACAGCTTTTTGGTCTCGAAAGACCTGGGAGGCCGAATCCCCTCTCGGGGTTCGGCTCTTTTTCTTCAGGTTGCACTTGTTTCTGACGCTTGAGATTCTGCCATGTACCCAGAATCTCTATCCTTCATAGTCAGGGACACCCTGACATATGGCGCCTCGACTACCCCTTTCTATTACCCACCCACATCGCAAGGTTCATCATTTTGGCTCATTTTGGTTACTTCACGACTTTTCTTGACACCTGGGAATGGCCCTCTTCCCCGCGGCCCCCCACCCCCCAAGGTTCCAAGCCTCTTCATTGACTTCAGCTGGAAGGACCTGGCTTGGAATTCTGTAGATTTCAGTGATTTCCCCCTTCTCAGCAGTACCTTTGATTTAGTACGTTGCCACCTGTGAGATCCCTACCCAGGTGTCTCATTCAGCCCCTCTTCCTCTCTGAATTTTACCAGTGATAGTTTGCGATTCACCGACTCCTTTGCTTACTCTCCTTTGGATTGCCTTTTATTCTGGTGTAACCTCTAACTCTCCTCCTTTTGCCCCAGCTGGTAGCTGCCACTCCCATCCTGTTCCCTATGGATATCTCCAGTTGCCCTCGGTTGTTACCTTTCCTGATAATGATGGAGATGTGCAAGGGCAATCTCATTTGTTCTGAGTGATGACAGTTCCTTTTCTCCCAGTGAGCATCATTCCATCCTAGATGTGCGGGGCTGGGAAACACCTTACAGGTCTTCTGCCTAGGCTATCCTCAAACATTCTGTGAATAGGGTTGGCGTCTGGTAATCTGGGAATACCTGATACTGCGTGGTATGGCACTTAAAATGAATGATACCACCTAGTGTGGTAGTGTTGACCCTGCTGGGAGCACCGGGTGGTGAGCCAGGGGACAGTACTTTATTCAGGCAGGCACACTGCAAGTGGGAGTAGTCTGGAGAAAGACTTGTGAATTGTGTGGCACTTGGGGGCCTGAATTCAATTCACATGGTTCTTGTTTACTATCCCTTTCTTGTATCAAACCAGGTCAAGGTTTGGTGAGGCAAGCCTCAGCTTGGGTTGGATGGTGCCCCACCAAAACTCACGTGTTCCATTTTCCTCTCACTTTTTTTCATACTAAAAAGTCAAGATTGAAGGACTAGGTGTGGCTCTGTGAGCTGACGACTTGAGCATCTTTGATAATTTGTTTTCCTCCAGGATTGAGGGTTAGAGCAGTGGCAGAGTTTAAGACCTTTTTAGGAGGTTCCCTTGCCGTATGTGGAAACTTCTGGGATTGATTCCTTACCTGAATTACGCTTTCAATTCCTTAAGGGTAGGTTTGCCCCCTTCTACTTGCCTTCCCAGTTGCCAGAGGCCATCTACTGTCTTTGTCCCTGGAAAGAGGTTAGTTTAGAAGATTCTGAGACTCCCTGTGACCACTATAAAGAAGACTTGGTGTGAACTGGCCCCCTTGATTTGGGCAGAGGGGGAGTCTGGTCAGGCTGCATTTGGCACCACGGCTCAAGAATGCTGGGAATGTTAGCAGCGTAGGCTTCTTTCTCCCAGCTTGCCATGTGGAGCCCTACAGCCTACGCCTGGACTGAGAGGGTGGCAGGTTCCCAAAGGAGAGGTGGGGAGAAGTGGCCTTTGAGGGGTTCTGTTAGGAGTGGAGTGGGAAGATTCTTCCTGCCACCCTTTTACTTTCGGGTTTTAGAGACATAATCTAGTTTTTGATTCCTCCGTCCCTAGCTAAAATGAAAGTAATCTGTGGTCTCTGGTTTTTTTCTGCCAGTCTGATTGTGATGAGGCGATCCTTTCCTCCACTGATTGAGGAGGGTCGGAGGCCTGGGTGTTGGGTGTGGGAGAACTTAAGGTCTGGAGCTTGTTGAGGCAACGCAGGAGGTAGGAAACCATACTCACTGTCAGCACAGTTCGGCTGTGCGGCTTCTCTGATGTTTACTCTTGAAAGAAAAGGACCAGGCTTCTTGGAAAGGGTCATCGCAGGGACTTTTTTCTCCTAGTCTGGGATTTGTTGGGAACCTGCCTGCTGAGCTGGGCTTGTATATGTGTGTTGGGGGAAGGGGGCGGATGGTGGGGAGCAAAGGGACTAGAAGTCTTGGGGCATGGAAGGCAGGCAAAACCTAGCTTTCCCCAGAGTCTCCTGTCCTGACTGCTCTCCCTGCTCTTCCCCCCTTAGGAGTCATACCCTGCGGTGCCCCCCATCTGGTCAGTGGAGTCCGATGACCCTAACTTGGCTGCTGTCTTGGAGAGGCTGGTGGACATAAAGAAAGGGAATACTCTGGTGAGGGGGCCAAGGTGTTGAGGAGGGAGTGCATTTTCCTCCTGTGAGACCCATGCCATGAAAACATCCTGTGAAACATGTGTCTGGAAAGTGGGTGGTGCAGTAGCCTGAACATTTGAGGCAGACGTCCTAGGGGAGTTGCTTCCTGAAGCCACAGGGAGAGAGCCCTGCACCTGACCCAGGATTCGTCCCGTAAGCTCTTCCCCACAGCCCTGTGGTCTGTGAGTTCTAGAGAATTTGGTGCCGATTTGGGGGCTGAGATGAGAGCTCGCCCGTGTACCTCTCGGTATTGGGGTGGGGAAGGAGTGTTTGATGTCACTGTGATCCCCTACCCCAGCTATTGCAGCATCTGAAGAGGATCATCTCCGACCTGTGTAAACTCTATAACCTCCCTCAGCATCCAGATGTGGAGATGCTGGATCAGCCCTTGCCAGCCGAGCAGGTGAGCACCTGAGGGGCTTTGAACCCTGTTACCCCCACAAACAGCACTCAGGAAATACATGTTAATTGAGGTGAACCTGCAGAAGTTTCTCTCCAGTGCTACTCCAGACATGTACACATACCATGACTCGGCCTCTCCTCCAGATGTTCGGAATCTAGCTAAATGGGCACCCGTAACTTCACCCCTCTGATCAAACTCTCTCCTGGGCAAGGTCATCCCTCGGGTGGGGGGGGGGGTTACCGTTAGCAGTAGGTGACCATTGGGGACTGAGGCCCTGTGTTAAGATCCGAGAATGCAATTCAGTCTAGAGATGATTGAGTACAGGGGTTCTTGGGGAGATTAAACAGGGATTTGTGTTAGGTGGCAGAAACAGCCATTGTGCTTCTCTCACTGGTTGGCATGTAGTGCACTGGTGGTGAAGTCATTCCCTGGACTGTCGCTTGAGCGCAGTTCTGACTGGCGGGGAGGCTGGTAGCCTTATGGGCAGGTGCACAGCTTCCACACCCAGAGGCTCAGGGGAGTGGGTCAGAGGCTGCGTTCTAGGAAGCCACCAAGGTCTGACCTCCGTCTTTTCCCTCCCCCCTGCAGTGTACACAGGAAGACGTGTCTTCAGAAGATGAAGATGAAGAGATGCCTGAGGTAGGCTTCTACCCAAGACGGTACTGGTAGGCCTTTCTTTTGGTCAGCAGCTTTGAGAGCCTGCTATGTACAGAGCTCCAGTCTGGACCTGGGAAAGAGAAATACCAAATGAATAAAGACAGATGTACTGACCTGGGGGGGCAGCAGTGTAGTAGAGACAGGGCACCCATGTCCAACCGCTGAAGATAGATGAGTGCAAATCTGTTTACGCTAAATAGTCACTGTGTTAACCTGGATGGCTTTGTAGTCAGACCTGAGCTTGCATCCTCTATCTTCCAGCTCTCTTGATTGGGGGATTTTACCTATTCTACTAAAGTACAACTTCTGCAGTTTTCTTATTTATAAAATGGGATGTTAATATCTACTACATAGGGTTGTCTTTAAATAAGGCATTGCATGTGAAAGCCTCCATTCAGTACATAAGTGCTAAGTGATTGGTGATACTCTCTAAAAACAACTTGGTTAAGAACTTGAACTTCAGAGCCAGGCCAAATTTCATGTGCATCTTAGTTCTATTAAGAGTTGTACGACTTTGTGGGCATGATAACCTCACCTGGACCTCAGCATTCTCATTTTTTAGTATGGGGGTAATGGTAAAATAATGTCATGGTGGTTATAAGAACTAAATGAGCTAGTGTGTCTAGCATCTCAGCAACTAATATAATAATTAGGAAATTAGTATCACCATATCCTGCCAGAGAGAGGAGAACACGATTACATTGTTTCTCTGCATCCTAGGTTCTGCAACTTCTGTAACTTTGTCAGGGTCTTAAACTGCACAAAGGGCACAGGATACATGAAACATTCTCCTGTCAGACTGCAGACAGCCCTCCAAAGGCTGGCTGGTATGGGCTCCTCCCCATGTACAATGAACTAGTTCCTCACTTCGAGCAGGGTGAATAGGGGCTGGTTCTGTTCTTGACCTCTGCCCTCTGCATTCTGGACCCCCTTCCTTATTTCCATTTTGGCAGTGGGTACCTCTGCCTATCTCCTCAGTCCCTGCACTTGGGAAGGCAGGATGTTTCTCCCTTAGACCTGGAGTCCTGGGAACTCCTGGGTATAGAAGTCACCTGATGAAACATGAGCTTTGAGTCACAGTGTCAGGCCAAAGTCATTCTAGGAATTAAGGAAGAATTTGTGCTGCCAAAGGAGAGCTGTAGGATAGTTGGGCCAGGGTAGGTCTAGGGAACAAGAAAGCCGAGTCTTTGCTTGCTTTCCCTAGACCTTTTCTTAGCCCTGCAGCTTGAGAACTGAATAGGAGAGATTTGCCTCGTCTTTTAGATTGTGAAGGGAGTGGGGCTGGGAGCTTTCCAGCAGTGGAAAGGGTATTGTACTCACTTGACTGCCAGATAGACTGCAGCTGTCTGTCTTCCTCCACCTGCAGCTCTAAGTCATATGGGACTGGAGAAGGGAAAGGCCCTTCTCCACAATGCGTGTTGCTTTCTTTCTTTTATCCCACTCCTACCCCACACATCCCCCTAGGACACAGAAGACCTAGATCACTATGAAATGAAAGAAGAAGAGCCAGCTGAGGGCAAGAAATCCGAAGATGATGGCATTGGAAAAGAAAACTTGGCCATACTAGAGAAAATTAAAAAGAACCAGAGGCAAGATTACTTAAATGTACGTGCCCTCTAGGAGAAGCTGGGCGGAGGGGTTGGCTGGTGCTGGCTGGGAGGTGGTAGGCCATCAGGTGTCAGAGTGGAAATAGCAGCCTCTTTGGCGTGGGTTATCAGTGAGCCTCATCCTTGCCCAATGCTGGGGCATACTGCCGGCCTGCCCCTCAAGCCTAGCACACGACTGAGATGTTCTGTCCTCCGTGTCTCCTTTGTAGGGTGCGGTATCTGGCTCGGTGCAGGCTACTGACCGGCTGATGAAGGAGCTCAGGGATATATACCGATCACAGAGTTTCAAAGGTGGTAAGTTTGCCTCATAGAGGGGTCTGAACACAAGCTTTTCAGAAAGGACATGGTGGCAGCGGCAGATACAGGGATGCTGACCAAGTTTTTAGGCCAAGGATGGAACACCCCTCATGGTGGCTTAGATTGGATGCATGTCTATGTGGGATGAACCTGGAGCCTTTGACCTTTTCTTCTTCTCAGCCTGGGCTAGGGATCTGCATCGGGTCCCACTTACACTGGGACCATCATCTGATAACATCCTTCTTCCCTCCTTCAGGAAACTATGCAGTCGAACTCGTGAATGACAGTCTGTATGATTGGAATGTCAAACTCCTCAAGTAAGTGGGGACTGTGGGATTGGAAAGGAACTTCAGTAGTGAGTGAAGTCTCCGTGGTGGGAGTCTGCAGGGCCAGCCATCCCGGGAGCAGGTGTGGGCAGTGGCTTGGCTCTCTGCTGCTTGCCCCAGGGGCAGTTGGAGCCTCAAGGCTTCTGAATTAGACCCAGAGCTGAGCCTAAACTGGTTGCTTCCTAGAGTTGACCAGGACAGCGCTTTGCACAACGATCTCCAGATCCTCAAAGAGAAAGAAGGAGCCGACTTCATCCTACTTAACTTTTCTTTTAAAGTAAGTCCTTCCTTTCCAGTCCCTCCCGGGCGTAGGCATCCTTTCCACCTTCCAGCACTGCAGAGGGCCCTGACCTTCCCTCCCTGATGGCTGCCTCCATCTCTCCCTCAGGATAACTTTCCCTTTGACCCGCCGTTTGTCAGGGTTGTGTCTCCAGTCCTCTCTGGAGGGTGAGTGGCCCATCAAGGGCAGAGGGTGAGGAAGGGTTGGGGAGCTTTTGCCAGGCACAGCTAACCAACCTTTCTTCTGCAGGTATGTTCTGGGTGGAGGTGCCATCTGCATGGAACTTCTCACTAAGCAGGTGAGCCTGTCTCTTGTTCTTTGCCTGGCTGGCCTGGGCAGGGCTAAGCTGACCTTTACCCCTCACCCTCCCACCAAGGGTTGGGTGATGGGCATAAATGGCCCTTTCATTCTGCATGGCAGGGCCTGCACCCACTGACCTGGGCAAATGGGTGATGGCTGTTCTGGGAGTGAAGGGCAGGGGCCCTTCCATGGCTGCAGCTGCTCTCTGGAGAACAAGCATTGGGTTTCTCTGGAAAGTCTGCTGACTCGTTTACTCTGCCCACATTGTTACTTAGGGCTGGAGCAGTGCCTACTCAATAGAGTCAGTGATCATGCAGATCAGTGCCACACTGGTGAAGGGAAAAGCACGAGTGCAGTTTGGAGCCAACAAAGTAAGCCCAGCCCCCGACCTGGTGGGACTGGTGGGAGCCGCGAACAGTTAGGGCCACTAGGAGGCCACAGTGGGACAGAGCCGCAGCGTCAGCCCGTGGGGCTAGTGCACCTGCCTGGAACAGAGCAGGGCCTTGGCCTCAAAGCCGCCTAAGCCTCTGGGGAGGGTGCAGGTCTGGAAGGGGAAGGCTAGGGGAGTGCACCCTGTGGGTCCCCCAGGCGGAACGGTGCTTAGTCTGTCAGGAGAGCACGGTGCTGGGAGCTGGGTCTCTGGGCGGCAGCAAGGCCACAGCTGGGCTTGTCCGGTGGCCTGATCTGGTGGCTTCCTCTCCCAGTCTCAATACAGCCTGACAAGAGCACAGCAGTCCTACAAGTCCTTGGTGCAGATCCACGAAAAAAACGGTGAGGCTGGAGCCACGACTTGGGATTCGGACCTTTGCCAAGCCTGAGGTTTCCATCCACCCAAACAGCAAGAACCCCTTTTGGTTTCTGAGCCTTTTCCACCTGTTAGCACGGCACCTGCCCCTCTTCTCCAAGGAATTCAGTGAGGTGGAGGGTGACGAGTGCCACCTCCTCCAGTAAGAGCAGTGGCGTTCAGGGCACGGGTAGACTGGGCGCCGCCCCAGGAGCAGTCTCACTTCACTGGTGTTGTCATTCTCCCTTTGCTCAGTCTCCAAGTAGGTGGTTCCTCACCTACCCATAGACCTCTCCCTGCACCAGGAGGCCCTTTCCAGAGTCTTTTCACCTTTGACCCTGGAGGTATCTTCAGTGATTCGGGCTAGGAGGGTGTGCAAAACAGCCTCCACCTCACTGTTTTCTTCCATTTCTTTGCAGGCTGGTACACACCCCCAAAGGAAGATGGCTAACCCAGGAGTGCCATTCCCTTCCTCCTTCCCCAGGCACCACTGGACCAATTACCTTTGAATGCTGTATTTGGATCTCACGCTGCCTCTGTGGTTCCCTCCCTCATTTTTCCTGGACGTGATAGCTCTGCCTATTGCAGGACAATGATGGCTATTCTAAACGCTAAGGAAAAAAAAAACAAAAAACACAAACAGAACTGTTTCAAGTACTCAAGACTGACTTACAGACCAACCAACCACCTGGCTGGAACCCTTGCTAGCAGGCATTCTTATAAAAGAAACTTTCGAGCCTCCTTATATTGCTGGAAACTCAGCTGTGCTCCAGACTAGAGCCTCCTTACCTATGCTATGGATTTTTAATTTATTTTCTCTTATTTCATGTACACTGCTTTTTTTGGTTACAGTGTATGATGGATGTGTATGAAAAAAAAATGTATCTTTGGGAAAACAATTACAGTTTGTTAATTTGAAGACGCTGGTCTTGACTCATCTTTATTTTTATTTCCATACCTTACCCTTCCCCCATCCCCTGAATTCCTCAAGCGGTGGGGGGAGGGGTACCAGATTCACTGTGGCTTTGGGAGCCATGAGGGGCTGCAGTTCGCTGCTCAAGCCAGAGAATGGTGGAGCTGAAGCACATGCCTGCCTCAGCCTGAGGGGCTCTGGAGTGACCAGACTTGTACCCCCTGGGAAGGCAGAGCTCAGCCTGCTGAATCACAAAGCAGGCTGAAATGATGACCATTATTCTTTAAAGATTTCTAGTCACAGATGTTTTCAAATTTCTTAGAAAAATAACAAGGAGGCCTAAGAGACTGCTTCACAGAACTACTTTTAAATGAACTGAATAGGGATGGGGCCACAGTCTCAAGCATGTATGTGGTCCTGATCTCAGCAACAGGCTATGTAGCTACCATTCTTGTTCACTGGTCCCCGCTCCCAGGAAGTGGCACTAAAGGGCAATGGTTGGAAGCTCCGTTGCTGCTCCTGTCTCTTCATTTATTCTTAACACAGAAACCAGGCAGAGCTCCGAAGTAAGCTGTTTGATTTGGAGACTGAATTCTTTTAAGGCACTTTCATAATGTGGGTCCTACTGGAAAGGATTAGCTTTAAGGGGTTTGGTCTGTCTGTGTGCCCCACTCAGGCTCAGAACCGCTGTGGAGGCACGTCCATGGGCTGACCTGTCGGTGCTGGGTCTGTCCCTACTGTGTAAGGACAGGTGTGCTGCCTGCCCTTCTGGTCCGTGAGCTTGCTCGGGGCCAGAGACAGCCTCCTGAGACCTCCCTACGGACCGGACCGGATGGTGACAAACGCCAGAGGCTAAGGATGGCCAAGTGAGGACGTGTCTTAGCTCAGACTTAGCACAGCCATCTGAAACCTCTAGGATGCCAGAGTTCTGTATGCTTTGACACTGCCATTTTAACTTTGGTCACTCCCCCCGACCCCCGCCCCCAACTAAGGGATTTTCATGTCATGCTGATTCAAGTGGACACAGAGTTCACCAGAACCACTCAACGCTGCTCTAACCCTACTACACCCACCTGGTACAGGGAGCTCATTTATGCTGAGGTGGAGATAAAAGAGGGCAGGCACCCACAGGGAAACTCATTTCATGGAGCTGAAATCTAGTTCTCAAAGCCTCTGCCTTTTTTCTGAACTTATCACCAGCCCTGGCTGGAACATACTATAGGTTGTGTTTTTAGTGATGTGTGCTGTGAGCTGTCCTCTGTACAATGTATTTTGTAATGTATTTTTCTCATCTACCAAAGGATGGAACAAATAAAATTATTTAAATAGTTTGGCTCTAATCAAATTATTAAAGAAAGAATGGGGGGTCACATTCACCTGATGTAAAGGGAAGCACCAGCTCTTGTGTGCTATAGCTATTATAAACAGCAACTCTCCAAGAAAATCTTCCACTTTTCTTGTCAAACCTAGCAGTCCTTTCTATGACATTACGTTAGGCTCCTAATGAAGTTACATGGTTAAGGGGGAAAAAAAAGGGCTGCATCATCCGGAACCAGTGTTTTGCCAAGAAGGCAAAGAGAAAGGAAACAAACCTTATCTTACCAAGTGTATATCTGTGTCCCACACAAGGTTTGAACAGCCGGCAGCTGTTTGAACACGGCAGCTCCCAGTCTGTGGCTTCAGTTTTAGTGGGCAGGGTTGGGGAGGGGCGGCTAGATAGGAATCAATCACCCCAAATGTGAAGTATGCCAACATTTATTCACCAAGCCAACAGATCAATGTTTAGATGCTCCCTACATGACTCTACAATGGAATGCCAGGAAAATTAAGCAGTGGGCCCCTCCATTCTCCAGACTCTGTCAGGGCAACTTATATCATGTTCTGGGGTTACAAAAAAAAAGACAGGAAAGAATACACTGGCTACATCAGACTTTCAACCTCATGGAAGCTTCCCTGTTTGGTTCAAATGTTCATGGTGAAGACACACGACACATTGAGAAGTGAGCTGGGGGAATCCAAGAAGTCCTGGGCACCACTGTGGCCTTTGTCACCCCCAAGGCCTCAAGAGTGAAAGGGCAGAGTGGGCAGGATCTAGACAGGACAGGAAACATGCTGATCGTAGCCACGTCACTTAAACTCTTCAAACTTCAGGATGTGTGACTGGAAGAGAAAGAGAAAATCTGAGTGGGAAGAAAGGACCGCCCCCTAGGCAGTCCACCCAACCCCTGGACAACTTCAATTTGCTTCTTCTACAGGAATGACAGGTAAATATGCAGCATCCAGGCCGAAGCCGGGGGATGGCTGCAGCTGAGACCCTGGGGTGGGAGGGAAGGAACAGCAGACACAGGGAAGTTACCTCCAAGTTCAAAGCACCGGTGATTTTCCCTTTGAGGATGCAATGGATAACCTGATTTGAACTCAAAATACCTGCAAAACAAAATACAAGAACAAAAGCTTGGTATTTCTTGGTCCGGCAGGAGGAGCAAGGGAGGGAAGTGAGAGGCTGGGGCTGCAGGAAAGGGTTCTGGCTGCAGACCAACTCATGTGGACAAGTTTCTGCTAGTCAGAGCTCACTCCCAGCTGCCAGGATAACGTGAGATAATCAGCACTGAAGAGGGAGGAGAGGGGGAGGGCAAAGTGAGAGCACATAAAAGGAAGCATTATACTTGTTAAAATGATTACGGGTATCTGAGATTGTACATTTCCTAATGGAAATTCTGGGGACAGAAAACGGTTCACTCAACTCTCTGAGTTTTGGCTGGAGAGATGGAAGTTAAAAGACAGAGAGCCTTTATACCATGACGAGCGAGCATTCCTACCTGCTGGGACAACGCAGGCCAGGGCGCTGGTCAGACACTCACCTTTATCTGGTCTGCCCTTACTCAGCTCCTGCCATTAGCCCCGGCCCCCATACTCTGGGGCTGTTTGTAAGCATGCAACTGGCTCATATCAAGGGGTAGACCTCAGTTCTACCCCCACCTAGGCCGCTTTCTTACTATGACACATGAAGAAGTCCCTTTCATTTTTCTGAGCCTTACTTTCCCCATCCGTAACATTGTACACCTGCCCACCCAGCCTCAGGACCATAGTCCATGTGAGAGCTGAGCCACCCCCCATCTGGGCTGCACACTCTGGCCCCTGACAGGCCTGGAGCTGCTCTTAGAAGGCAGGGGGCTCCTTACTCTGGGGAACCCTCCAGCACCCAAGCAGTCAGCTTCGGCCTTCCAGAAGCTGCCCAGCCCTGTCTGCCTGTTAGTCCCCAGGCTGAGCCTCTTCATGCAATGACCCAAGGCGACCTCTGGGTGGTGCCCCCTCACCGCTGGGTACAAGCCCATAAGCCCAGCAGGGAGGCTTGGCGCTGCGCTTTGTGGAGGTGCTTTTCCATCTTAATGTGTGTGTGCCTCATCACATCACGTCTCCTCAGCCCCTTAAAGCATTCTTTCACCCTTTCACATCTCACTTAAACCCCAGTGTCGAGAACAGCCAGAGCAAAGAAGTAGCCTCTCCATTTCAAGGTTGCAGAACCGAGGCCCCACAGGTGTCCAGATCTAAAGTAACAACCCCCTCACATCATGTACAGAAATAAACTCGAGATGGTTTAAAGACTTAAGCGTAGACATGACACCGTAAAACTCCTAGAAGAGAACACAAAACATGCTCTGACAAAATCGTAGCAATATTTTCTTAGATCAGTCTCGCAAGGCAAGAGAAATAAAAGCAAAAATAAACCAATGGAACCTCATCAAATTTAAAAGCTTTTCCACAGCAAAAGAAACCATAAAACAAAAAGACAATGGACAGACTTGGAGAAAATATTGGCAAATGATGCAACCAACAAGGGGTTAATTTCAGAAATATACAAACAGTTCATACAGTTCAACATCAAAAAAACAAACCACCCAATAAAAAAAAATGGGCATTAGGGGCTTCCCTGGTGGCTCAGGGGGAAAGAATCCGCCTGCCAATGCAGGAGACACAGTTTCCATCCCTGGTCCAGGAAGATCCCATCTGCTGCAGGGCAACTAAGCTCATGCACAACTACTGAGCCAGTGCTCCAGAGCCCGGGAACTGCAACTGCTGAAAACCATGGCCCTAGAGCCTGTGCTCCCCAAGAGAAGCCACCGCAATGAGAAGCATGCGCACCGCAACTAGCGCAGCCCCCACTTACCTCAACTAGAGAAAAGCTTGTTCAGCAACAAAGACTCGGCACAGCCAAAATAACTGAATAAATAAAACTATTTTTAAAATGGGCATTAGACCTGAACAGACATTTCTCCAAAGAAGACACAGAGGTGGCCAACAGGTACATGAAAAGATGCTCAACATAGCTCATTATTAGAGAAATGCAAATCAAAACCACAGTGAGCTATCACCTCACACCAGTCGAAATGGCCATCTCCATCAAGTTCACAAATAATAAACGGTGGAGAGGGTGTGGATAAAAAGTAACCCTCCTGCACTGTTGGTAGGAATATAAATTGGTGCAGCCGCTGTGGAAAATAGTATTTGTTGTTGTTGTTTAGTTGTTAGATTCGGTCCGATGCTTTTGCAACCCCTTGGACTGTAGCCTGCCAGACTCCTCTGTCCATGGGATTTTCCCAGGCAAGAACATTGGAGTAAAAAAAAAAAAAGAACACTGGAGTAGGTTGCCATTTCCTTCTCCAGGGGGTCTTCCCCACCCAGGGATCGAACTCTCGTCTGCTGCCTTGGCAGGTGGGTTCTTCACCACAGAGTCACCTGGAAAGCACTGGAGAACAGTATGGTGGTTCCTTAAAAAACTAAAAATAGAGTTACCATATGATCCAGCAATCCTACTCCTGGGCATATATCCAGAAAAAACAAAAACTCCCACTTCAAAACAATACATGTGCCCCAGAGACTTCCCTGGGGGTTCAGGGGCTAGGACATCACACTCCCAATGCCAGGGGCCCAGGTTTGATCCTTGGTCAGGGAACTAGATCCTGCATGCTGCTACTAAGAATCCACTGCTGCAACTGAAAAGATCTCGAAAGCCGCAACAGAGACACGGCACAGCCAAATAAATAAAAGAGACACGCACCCTAATGTTCACAGCGGTAGTATTTATAATAGCTGAGACATGAAAGCAACCTAAATGTCCATCAACAGATGAATGGACAAAGAAACCACAAAAAAAGAATGAAATAATGCCATTTGCAGCAACATGGATGGATCTAGAGATTATCATATTAAGTGAAGTCAGATGGAGAAAGCCAAATATTATGTGATATCATTTAAAAATGGAGTCTAGCAAAGTAAGCCAGAAAGATAAAGACCATTACAGTATACTAACACATATATATGGAATTTAGAAAGATGGTAACGATAACCCTATATGCAAAACAGAAAAAGAGACTCAGATGTATAGAACAGACTTGTGGACTCTGTGGGAGAAGGCAAGGGTGGGATGTTTCAAGAGAACAGCATCGAAACATGTACATTATCTAGGGTGAAACAGATCACCAGCCCAGGTTGGATGCATGAGACAAGTGCTCGGGCCTAGTGCACTGGGAAGACCCAGAGGGAACTTATTTACAAAACAGATTTAGAAACATAGAAAATAAAATTATGGTTACCGATGGGGTGGGGAAAGGATGAATTAGGAGTATGGAATTAACAGATACATATCATTATATGTAAAATAGGTAAACAACAAGGATTTAAAATATAGCACAAGGAATTATGGGGGTTCCTAGATGGCTCAGTGGGTAAACAACCCGTCTGCAATGCAGCAGACACAGACAGTTATGGATTTCATCCTGGGGTCAGGGAGATCCCTTGGAGGAGGGCATGGCAACCCACTCTGGTATTCTTGCCTGGAGAATCTCATGGACAGAGAAGCCTGGCAGGCTACAGTCCACAGGGTCTCAAAAAGTCAGAGACTATCAAAATGACTGAGCATGTACGCACAGGGAACCACAGTGAACATCCCGTAATAACCTCTTAAGAAACTTAAAGATAGACATAAATATACACACACACACACACACATAAAACTGAATACACAGAAGAACTATACAAAAAAGGTCTTGATGGCAGATAACCACAATGGTGTGGTCACTCACCTAGAGCCAGACATCCTGGAATGTGAAGTCAAGTGGGCTTCAGGAAGCCTTACTGCCAATTAAGTTAGTAGAAGTGATGGAATTCCAGCTGAGATATTTAAAATACAAAAAGATGATGGCATTAAAGTGCTGCTGCAGTCAACATGTCAGCAAATTTGGAAAACCCAGCAGTGGCCACAAGACTGGAAGAAGTCAGTTTTCATCTCAATTCCAAAGGGCAGGGCTGAAGAATGTTCAAACTACTGGACAATTGCGTTCACTTCCCATGCTAGTAAAGTTATGTTCAAAATCCTTCAGAGGCTTCAGCAGTACTTGAATCAAGAAATTCCAGACATACAAGCTTGGTTTAGAAAAAGCAGAGAAACCAGAGAACAAACTGCCAACATTCATTGGATCAGATAAAGCAAGGGAATTTCGGAAAAACATCTACTTCAGTTTCATTGACTACACAAAAGCCTTTGACTGTGTGAATCATAACAAATTTCAAAATTCTTAAAGAGATGGGAATCCCAGACCGTCTTACCTGTCTCATGAGAAACCTGTATGCAGGTCAAGAAGCAACAGTTAGAGCCCTGTATGGAACAACTGACTGTTTCAAAATAGGAAAAGGAGTATGTCAAGGCTGTATATTGTCACCCTGTTTATTTAACTTATATGCAGAGTACATCATGAGAAACACTGAGCTGGATGAGTTAGCTGGAATCAGATTGCTGGGAGAAATATCAACAACCTCAGATTTGCAGATGATACCACTTTAATGATAAGAAAGCAAAGAGGAACTAAAGAGCCTCTTGATAAGGATGAGAGAGGAGAGTGAAAACAACATTAAAAAAACTAAGATCAAGGCATCTGGTCCCATCACTTCATGGCAAATAGAAGCAAAAGAAGTGGAAGTAGTGACAGATTCTCTCGTCATCTTGGGCTCCAAAATCACTGCAGATGGTGACTGCAGCCATGAAATAAAAGTCATTTGCTTCTTGGAAGGAAGGTTAGATAACATACTAAAGGACAAACCTCCATAGCATATTAAAAAGCAAAGACATCACTTTGCCAACAAAGATCTGTAGAGTCAAAGCTATGGACTTTCCACTATGGATGTGAGAGTTGGGCCATAAAGAAAGGTGAACGCCAAAGAATTGATGCTTTTGAACTGTAGTCTAGAGAAGACTTGAGAGTCCCCTGGACAGCAAGGAGATCAAACTAGTCAATCCTAAGCGAAATCAACCCTGAATACTCATTGGAAGAACTGATGCTGAAGCTGGAAGCTCCAATACTTTGTCCACCTGAGCTGGTCAATAGGCAACTCACTAGAAAAGACTGATGCTGGGAAAGACTGAAGGCAAAAGGAGAAGAGGGTGACAGAGGATGAGATGGTCAGATGGCATCACTGACTCAATGGGCATGAACTTGGGTGAACTCTGGGAGATCGTGTGGGACAGGGCGACCTGGCACGCCGCAGCCCATGGGATCACAAACAGTCAAACGTGACAGCGACTGAACAACAGCAGCAAATAACTAAATCACTCTGCAGTAGACCTGAAACTACACAATACTGTAAATCAACTACACTTCAATTAAAAAAGTAATAAATATCACATCAGGGAACAACCTTGAGTCCACTGCTCTAACCCCTATCATTGGTCTTCAAATACCACTTTTCTTCTACAAAAAATCCTTCTCTGAAGAAATCTCAAGCGAAACTCAATGTACATGAAATAGATGGAAGCTGAGCAGTTCCGGCAGAAGCAAGAGTGGGAGGCCTGCCTTCCCCTCACCCCACCCAGAGAATTCAGCCTTTAGGCAGCACCTGAGGTCCCCTTCCAGATCTTGTTGTTCGGAGAGACCAGGTATGAAAACCAAATTCTCAAGAAAGCTCAGCAAGGGGCAGATGCTGAAAACTAGGGTGAGACCAAAAGAATAGAGACCGAAGGGAAGGCATCCTCAGGGCCTTGGCTGCCTCTACGCAGAAGCCATTCCCGCACAGGTGCCTGGAGGAACGCACAGCATCTACTGTCCCCTGGGTCCTCTGCAGGAGGGTGGAGGGCGCCTTACCTTTCTCCAGCATGAAAGGCTGAGTCAGGGGGGGGATGGTCCAGAAGTCATCACTGTCCAGGGCGCGCAGGGACTGCACCGGGATGGTGGCCGATCGGCCAAAATCCACGAACATGACCACCACCCAGGAGTCCACACGGTCCAGCACCCAGCACCTGGCCGGAGGGAGGGAGAAGAGGTTTGCCCCACCTGGAGCCACACAGAGCAGTCTTCATGGAGAGGGCTGGGAGGTCTGGGAGGAAAGAGAGCTTCCTATGCTGCTCCCGCCTTGGGTGGAGAGGTGATCACAAGGAATGACCTTGAGAGAAGCAGCAGCAGCAGCAAAGACACGGGAGTCCGGAGGATGGAGAAGCGACCCACCAGCCCTGCCCGGCACGTACCTGTTCCAGGCCGGCCCGTAACTGCCCAGGTGGTACTCAGCCAGACCGCGGACCCCGCGCCGCACCGCCGAGTCATGCAGGTAGGGCTGCTGCTCCTCCGCCTCAGCCAGGGCGCTGAACAGGGCCAGCATGTTCCGGTGCAGTGTCTGTGGACGGTACAAACGCCGCGGGCCTCGCTGCCTGCCTGGATCACACGTCTGTCTTGGCAGGTATCACCTGTTACGTCAGCACCACTGATCCACCCACCCCAAGGGAACTCGAGGTATGAGGTGGGAGAGGGAGCAGGCTGCCAGGCATCAAAGTGCGGCCCCTCTGGATGTCCACCACGCTCACCCCAGTGGGGCTGCACGAGGAGGGATCCAAGCCCCAGAGGACCACCAATAAGCCCGTACCTCGGTGATGTGCATGGCCCAGAAGAAGGGGGTCTGAGGGACAGTACTGGTCACCAACAGCCCCACCTCCCCGCTGACACTGGGGATGGTGGCCAGCCAGCCCAGGTCTCGGAAACATTCCCTTAGGAGCAGCACCAAGAAGGACCCTCTGTGAAGAGCAGGGAACAGAGGGAAGGGGGTGAACGCAGAGCGGTCTGACCAACGCCCGTCCTGGGGATGCTGGGCAGGACAGTCACCTTGATAAGAGGGCTGTGGCCCTCCCCAGGGTGGGGACAAGACAAGTGCCTCGGACACGCTGATCTCCGGGCATCCAGGGTGGGGAGAGTCCCAGGCCATCGCCATACAGAAAAGGAGACGGACTTTGTAAGTCACGGTGGGTCACGGCCTTAGTGCTTGGGTCTGATGCAGGAGTTCCGAAAACTTGATTCCCCACCACCATACCATCCCTGCCCCCACCCTCTAGGGACCAAGCAGATGTCTGCAATTGCCATTTGCTGGTGGCCCCTACACCTCTGCTCACCTCATTTCCATGGGAACTGCAAAGAAGCTTGTCTTGGGTTTCTCTGTCTCACAGGGCTCACCAGAAGCTTTAGGAGTGAGCTGTGGACAAGCTGGAAGGCAGAAAGTGGAGTCCTGGAGGCACCAGGGCTGTCTCAGAGGACTGCCCCCCACCTCCCCCTCAAGAGACCCCAGAGGTAGGATGAGATGGGCGGTGCAGCTACATCCTTCCCGGTCTCAGCCTCTAGACCCTCAGGTGGGTGGGGAGGGTGTGCTGGATGATCTTCTCTCGTCAACAAAGCATCCCAGGGACCTCCCTGGTGGTCCAGTGGCTGGGATTTCACCCGCCATTGCAGGGAGTGCATTTTCAGTCCCTGGTTGGGAAGCCAGAATCCCACATGCCTCGTAGCCAAGGGACCAAACCACAGAACAGAGGCAATGTTGTAACAAATTCAACAAAGACCTTAAAAATGGTCCACATCAAAAAAAAAAAAAAATCTTAAAAAAAAAAAAAGGCATCCTAGAGGAATAAAAATATTTTCTACACTGAGGGGTCAATGTGGGATAAAGCTGGAAGGAGGCTGGGAGAGGTAAATCGGGAACTGCAAAGACACGTCCTGGGAACAGATGGCAGCTGGGTAATCTCACCAGTGGTTCCAGCAAACCCTTGAGCAGAGGCCTTCTCTGAAATCTAGGGAGAAAGAGAAAAGGCATCACTGAGGCATGGCGGTGTTCATCTCACTGTTTACATACTGGGTCTCTCCAAGTAGATTCAATGAGAGCAACAGCCCCTGGACTGACACAGGCTTCAGCTGACTTTGGGGAACCCCCGACCCCGCTTTCTCCATTCTCTCAGGAGACCCTGAGCCAAGTAAAGACAGGAGGTTCAGGAGCGGGGGGTGGGGGGGGGGGAGGGGGCCACGCTTCCAGGAACGCTCACCAGGACCTGCAGGCACAGAAGCCCAGCACTGCTTAGCCCCGAGGCCGCTGTGGGCACTTCTCCGAGAAAGAGGAGGAGAAAGAGGTAGGGATGGGTACTCTGGTGCAGGTCTGGGTGGAGACAGACTACAGACCTGCAGCCCCCAGCCACACTGGCTTCCCTCTGTCAACTGTCCTGATCTGGAAATTCCCCGCCCTGGTTACACCCACAGATCTGCCTGCCCGGCTATGTTCCTGCTTCCCCCACGCCCCCTGCCGCCCAAAATCACACACGGCCACAGTTCTCCAGCGGACACACCACAATCCTTCCAGAAGCCCCTAGTCAGTTTCCTTCCTTCCATCCAATGGATGACACCTCTCCCCCTCCTGTCTTCAAACCCTCCACACCTCCCACCCAACACCCACCCTGTGAACTTGCCTCTTCATCGGGAGAAAACTGGAAGCGACTGGATACGGGGGCCCCCCTCATCCTCTCACCACCAAACCACCCCCCACCCCACTCTCTCTGCCCCTGTTACATGGCCACCAAGCACCTTCCCATTGTGCTTACAGAGAAAACCCAAAGTCCCCACGTGGGCTCACCAAGGCCACCATGATCTACCCTCCTTCCACTGACCTCTTCTCTGCCCACTCGCTCTTGAGGCATTTGTAGGCAGTCCCTTTGTCTAGCATATTCTTTTCCTGGTCCTCCCACGGTTGACTGACATTTCATCCAGATCTCAGCCATCACTTCCTCACATAGAGGACTCCCTAAGAACCATTTCAGTGGCCCCTCTCTTCTCCATCATGCCACCTCATTTTAGTCCTATGTTTGCTTGTTACTACTGAGACAGGCTGGGGCCGGGGACCCTTTGCTGCAGTGCTCACACCTGGACAAATGTCTCCTCCAATAAAATACAAGGAAACGCTAAGGGACTAAAAATAAATGCATGCATGTGCAGTCAGGGAGAATCATGGACAAGAAGATACGAAAAAGATGGGAAACCCAAAACCCAACGCCACTTCTGAAGACTGGGAGCAAAAGCAGGGTGCTGTACCTGCCCCATGCACAAAGGCATGGGCTAACCACCTAAGCTGCCTCTCTGGCCTGAGCCCTGCACACGCCCCTGCTCACCAATATAAGGACCCAGCTCATCCCCCCTGGGGAACTAGCAAGAGAGCCTGGTGCAGAAGGGGACCCAGTAAAGCCTTGCCTGAATTTCTTGTCTGGCCTCTAATCAATTTCTATTGATTAAGGAGGTCAAGAACCCTGGTTGGTAACACTATCTGACATTTTCTTTTTCCTCTTTTTTTTGGGGGGGAGGGCATTTTCTTATTTATTCACTTTTTTACTGGTTTACTGTATGTGTATTTCCACTGGAATTTAAGCCTGATGTGAACCACATCTCTCTTCTGACAGCTACCTTCATGGCCAAGGAAACCTCAGGGCCCAGAACAGTGTCTGAGACATGTTAAGCTCTTAGTAAATATATATGAGAGAAAGAGACAGAAGTAAAGAGAGAGAGAGAGGAGGGAGGGCGGAGAAATGAACTGGGGCAAATTCTTAATATAAACCTTGGTTTCCTCTTCAATACCATGAATCATACCTGATGTGAGGATCTACCTTGGCCAGCATCTGTTCAGGACATGAAACAAAACAGATGCTTGATAAATGGAAGAGAGGTTAAGGGACGTCCCTGATGGTCCAGAGCTTAAGAGTCCAGCTGCCAATGCAGGGGACACAGGTTCAACCCCTAGTCCCGGAAGATCCCACACGCCGCAGGGCAACTAAGCCCATGCGTCACAACTACTGAGGCCTGCACACCCTAGAGCCTGTGCTCCGCAACCAGAGAAGCCACCGCGATGAGAAGCCCACGGACCACAACTAGAGCGTAGACCCTGCTCACCACAACCGAAATAAGCCCAAGTAGAGCAGCAAAGACCCAATGCAGCCAATAAATGAATAAAATTTTCAAACAGAGAGGTGAAAAGTGCAGGTTCTGGAGTTAGACTGGGCTCCAATCTTGGATCGCGAACTTGAAGGATCGAGCTCCTTAACTGTGGCCTGGTTCCTTGGCGTCTCGTCGGCAGGACAGGACAGTAGCAGCACCAGCTGCTGGGTTTAAACAGGTTCATATAGCACAGCGATCGTTACAGAGCCTGCAGAGGGAGCCCTCCGTGAAGGCAAATTAGCGCAGTCAACCAAGGGGGCCCAGATAAAGTCTCCACGTGAAATCATTCTGCCCCTGCTGTTAACCTATGACATGGCAAGTGACAGGGTTAAAAATGCTCCCCTAGCCAAGCACAGAAGTTGCCTTTTTATTTGAACAGGGCTTCCCAGGTGATGCTGTCCCTCAGTCATGTTCAACTCTTTGCGAGCCTGTGAACTGTAGCCCACCAGGCTTCTCTGTCCATGGGATTCTCCAGGCAAGAATACTGGAGTGGGTTGCCGTTTCCTTTTTTTTTCACCCAGGTGGAACTAGTGGTAAAGAACTTCTTGACAATGCAGGAGACAGATGTTTAAGAGATGCAGGTTCAATACCTGGGTCAGGGAGATCCTCTGGAGAAGGAAATGGCAACCCACTCCAGCAATCTTGTCTGGGAAATCCTCATGGACAGAGGAGCCTGCTGGGTTACGGTCCATAGGGTCACAGAGTCGGACACGACTGAAGTGACTTAGCACTTAGCAAGGCAATTCCATACACCAATCTCAAGAACCAATTATCAGCAGGGGTTTCAAGCTAAAAATTACTATTAATACAGAAACACTGGAAACCATTCTGGGTCTAATTATTATTCCCTAATGATTTGAGAGATATAAATAGAATAAGCCTATTTGGTCAGTTTGTGAAATTCAGTTTCAGAGGAAAATCTATACAATTATCATCCACCCACCACAGCAGACACGTCACTCAAAAGCAAACTTCAAATTTCAGGTTATGCATAACACTGAAGTGGCCACCTAGAAGCTGCAAGCAATCGAGGCAGTATCTCAGGAGCTGCCAAACCAGCCGATTTTAATTAACCTCTGTTGTCCCCACGAGCGCAGTAACTCTACACCCCGATCAGTCAACAGCTGTTAACCGTCTGCTTTGTTCTGGGACACTGCCACCAGCCGGTCAAGCAGTCCAAGAGGTGGCCTGCTCCAGAATCCTGCAGGTAGTCTCAGCAGTGGAAGAGGAGTCACGGGGCTCACAAAGGTCAGTGGCCAGAAGGCTTTTGGGGGCTGGGAGCACTGACCTCATGTGACACTCCGAATAGTGGTGGCCCCCCGGGATTGCTCACTGCCACACCCCTGGCCTGCTGTGGTCACCCTGGACCATCACTTTTAAGGCCCTGTCTCTACTTGGGGAACCACACTGGAGCTACCTGAAGGGCATATCCTAGTGGAAATTTAAAACTTAGAGCTTTAACCATCAACTGCTTTCCTGCCACCCAGTACCACCTTGCACTTCTTGCATTTCGATGTGCTGGGCACAGAGCGACAAGGACGACAGACACAGGCCTTGATCTTGGGGAGCTACACCGAGTCACTCCGCACATATTTATACAATGCATTCGTTCTGGACCCAGCCATCACAAAGCTCACACTCTGGTGGGGGCAGGAGACAAGAAGTATACAAAGAAGTATAAGGTCGATGACCCTAAGGGCAAAGCAGCTTCACAAGGCAAGGAGACGGGACAGGAGGGCAAGCGTGGGGGCGGGAGCGACCGCTGAGCAGAGGCCTGCAGGAACTGAGAAGGCAAACCCGCAGGCATCTGGGAGATGAGCCTTCCTGCCGAGGACACCCGCGGTCCTAGGCAGGGATGTGCTTGCCCTGCGACACTGGGGCCGGGGTAACAGGCATTTGCATCTCTTACCTGTACCACCCAAGACAGGTCTTCTGCTTCCAGGCCCTTGGAGTCTATTCCACAGGGTCCCTTTAAAACCTAAATCTAAGAGAACAGATGAACTAACTGGCACAGACATACAACAGAATACAACTTAGCAATAAAAAAAAGAATTGCTGATGGTGTGACCACATGGATGATTCTCAATAACATTCTGCTGAGTGGAAGAAGCCAGACACAAAGAAGCGCATATGGCAGGAGTCCATCTACACCAAACTCTAGAAAAGGGTAAATCTCATCTAAACTGATGGAAAGCAGATCAGTCATTGCCTGGGGCCACGACGCCGGGGAAGGGCACAAGAGAATCTTTGGGGCAACTGAAAAGGTCTATGACTGTGACGGTGGTTACAGACGCACACGCTTCTCAAAATTCATCAAACTGTGCACCTAAAAGGGATGCATTTTATGTAATAATTCGATACTTCAATAGGTGATTTTTTAGTATAAATTGGTTAAATCTGGTTAGGTCATTCCGTGCTCAAACCCTCCACTGTTCTCATTATTATGTGACTATGTAAGTGCCAACTGCTGCTGAATCAAGTTATGTACCATGAAAATTTTAAATTTTTAATATTAAAAATGTATTATGATTATTCTTTTCCTTATGCAACCTTCTCCAGGAATTAACTGCTCCTTTTTTCCCATTTACTTGGATTTCCTTAAGTTTCTGGCTAAATCAATAAAACAAAGAGCTGGAACCTTTGAAAGGATCGACAAAATGAATGAACATCCAGTAAGACTGAAAAGAAAAGGAAGTCACAAATTGCCAAAATCAGGAACAAAATGGGGTATCAATATACACCTCACAGATACCAAAAGGATAACAAGGGAAATAAAGGACAACGCTACACATAAATACAAACATGAAGTTTGACAACTTAA